CGCTCTGCCTTGCAGCAGGACCCACGAGCATCATCTTCCTCACCTTCATCCTCCTGGCAGGGATGCCCGGGGTCTGCACCATTTAGACAGGGCCCTGGTTCGTGGATGCTCACTGGCAGATGAGCCTCAGTGGAGATTTGTTTTGCTTCTTGTCACCTTTGTTAGGTTTTGACTACAAAATAAAAAGAACTGACCTGGGAGGTGAGAGGGCAGTGGTGCCGGGCTAAGGCCTGGTGCAGTGCTGAAGGCAGGGGAGCTGTGGTTGGGGTGCCTCTGCCAGGGGAATGCCTTCCTGCAGGGGTTTGCTCGCAGCCAGTGAGCCAGGCTTCAAAAGGGGCCAGTCCTAACTCTGAGCCCTCCAAAACACACGTAAAAACCTGACTTCTCCCAAATTCCAGCACCAGTTAAAGGCCGTTCAAAGTGTGTGTAGAGGGGGCAGCATCTCCCACCCAGATGTGAGTACAAGCTCTTCCATATCTAACCAGGCTATCAGATGGCACGTATGTTTTAAATCATGCTGACTGCAGAATCCACCTTGCACAGATTATCTGAGGGGTTTGTTGGAAAGAGCTGTGCCGAACCAGGTGAAAACCCCCAAACAGCTCTACTGCAGCCCCAAACCCCTGGAGAGCTGCCAAAGGCAGAACCTATAAATCATGAACCTATAGCCCTCTCCCATTCTCCCGGTTTCTACCTGTCAATTGTTTTGAAAAGAAAGAAAACACATCAGTTCTTTTAATTTGCCTTTTGGAGCCTGTGCTTTTAGGCACGTTTTCCAGCTTTTCTGGAACACGCGGCCTAGAAGCCTCCGTTCATTGCTCAGTGAAAGCTGAGAGTCTCACTTAATTACTTGCATCCAGGAGAGGAGCTTTATGAAAAATTCCAAGTATCAGAAGATGGGTAATAAAATCACAGGGGCTGGCAATGCTGAGACTCCAGCTCCATGCAGAATATTCCTTTTATAATCATCCAAGTAAAGCACGTGCCCCTGGGACGCTGCTCTGCCACGGGAGTAAGAAATATAACAAGTTTTGGTGAGCTGAGGCTGAAAAAGACCTAAAATCGCTGTTCCTGGGCTGGGGCTCAGCTCACACAGCCGCGGGGTGAGGCAGTAACTGCGTCAGCAGAAATGTATGCAGGAATTTAACCAGGAGAGGGGCAAAGGTGGCTGGCACTTGCGCAAGGTTTTCGGCAGCCGCGGCGCAGAGCACCTGGCAAAGGGGAGCGGGAAGCGGGGAGGTGCTGAGGGGAGGTGGTGGTTAACAGAGCCCCGCAGGAGAAATGCTGAGGCTCGGCCAGCTAGCCTGAGAAGCAGCTTCGTGAAGTTATGTGATATCTGAGACCGTTTTTCGTGCAGGTCCCAGCTTGCCCTCGTATCACAGCAGCGTTTGTGACCTGGGCCGGGCTCCAGGCCCTGACCACAAGAAGTGCCTCAGGGCTCGGTGTCCTGCCGTGCCTTGGGGTTTCCCCTGGGCTTTTCCGCACCCTCCATGGCAGCACTCTTTCTCCTCTTTCTCCTGGGCCTGACAGGGTGGCCACATCCTCCTGGCCAGACTCAGCATCCCTCACAGCACCCCGGGGTGCGCCACCCGGCTTGGTGGCTGCAGGAGGGGGCACAGGGGGACAAGCCACCCCCCAGATGGGCTCCCCAGTGCCACCAGAGAGCACAAGGACATCCTCGCAGGGACTTCCACAGCAAAGCAGCCCAAGGGGAACACGAGGGCTGAACTCTCCTCTCCTTCTCCCCTGCATGGGCACATCCCTTGCCCTTGGGGGAATATCCCTCGTGCTACTGCTAACTGGTGAGATAAAGGCCTGAGGTCTCACGTCCCTAAATGTGATTGGAAATGGAGCTAAGCTGCAGCTCAAACGGAAGTCTAAATTAGGTTGCGGAAGAGAAAAGGGTATTTGACAGCAGGAGCAGGCTCTGGAAATGCAGTCATTGTTTCTGCTTAGGGGTTTTGAAATGTAAATAATTTAACACCCAGCTAAGCAGAGGAAAATCTGCTATTTTTGGTTTATTCTGAACAAAGACAGCTGTGTATTCTAAAATGTACAGTTCAGCATTAAAAAAAAAAAAAAAGAAATGCAGAAATAATGCCCACGGGAATGTCTTTAGGTTTTGAGACCCAGCAGCCAGGGTCCTGGGCTGGCTGAGCCCTGTGTTACACCGGTACCCCTGCCACCATCTCCAGCCTTACCAGGGCCATCACAATAATCCCATAAATAAATTATTTGGATGGGTGAATCGCAGGGATTCATTACAAATTTCATCTGAAGGATAAAAGCACAGAGAGAGGCTGGAAAGGCAGCACTTAGGTCTGAATTGAGCCCGAGCCAGGGTGTGCATTTTGAGGCCAGCTCTGGGTGAGATGGGATGTGCAGAGCCCAAGCGGGATGGATCCTGCTCTGAGCAAGACTCCCAGGGCAGCAGCTGCCACAGGGTATCGGTTGCAATCTGTCCCAGGCAGTGTGGAGAACCAAAACAGGACTCAAATTTGGTTCCCATCAAAAATCAAGGGCTGCTGCAGATGCATGGGCATGGCTCTGGGAGCAGGACACAGCCTCTTCCTTCGGAGACCTTACCTGAGTTATTGTGCTTTTGGTCATCAGTGCAATGAAGCCTGGTGTGTTTGCTGCTCTCCCAAATACGCGTTTGTTTAATAACTTATTGGGAGAAAGGGTTAAATACCTCCCAGCTGTATCAAACCACCCCCAAATGGCCATGCTGTTAGAGCTGGTGAACTTTTTATGAGATTTTTGGTGGGATTCACTCTCGTTTTTCTCATTTTCTTCTGCGGATGGAAAGCAAAATAATTCTCCTTGTCCATCCGGGGTGGCCAGGGGTCCCTACGCAGCGCATAAACTCTCCTTGCCATGGCAGTAAGCACACCGCAGAGCTGCAGGGCAAACCCCGCTGGGGCTGAGCCTTCTCGGAGAGGCTGGCCCTGGGCACGGGGAGCACCTGGACACCTTCCTCCCAGCTCCTATGTTAATCCAGCCCCACGGGCCCCTCCAGAGCTCATTGAAATTCCAGAGGAGTCTTCCCATTGAGTTCAGCCAGCTCTGAATAAGGTTGTTTTTCTCTTCTGTGTGTGCTTTTTTTTAAAAACCTGTGCTTGCTCTGGGGGAAAATGTATTTAAAGACAGAAGTGCTGTGCTGGCAGCTGTGCTGCTGTCACCTCCCCAGTGGCGATGCAGCTCCAGAGAGGGCTTCGGGACCGCTGGGACCATGGGGTGCCCAGGCAGGAATCGTGGGTCCAGCCGTGCCGATGTGCATGAGGACAGGATAAGCGGAGGGGGAGTCGGAACAAGAGGTGGGCTGGCACACAGAGTATCTGCCTTGGTCTGGGGCTCCGTTTGGGCACCCTTCTATGTCTGTTTGTCAGTTGCATACCAAAATAATAAGTTAGGTCTTAAATAAATCCCAGGATCTGCAAGCACCTGGTTTAGAAGGGTGATTATTCCTCACCTGTAGGTGGAAATGAGATTCACCTGGGCTGGCACACAGCCGTGGTGACAATGCAGCCCGTTTCCCTCACTGCTGCTCACTTCTCCATCCCAGGGCCACCGTGTCCCCTGGTTACGGGTGCTGTTCAGTCACTGTACGTGGTGCTGAGCCTCAGGCCCCTGCTGCCCCTGACCAGCTCACCTTCCACATCACCATTGTGGCTTCCTGAAGGGATCTTGGCTTTTGGTGACAGTGAGCCAAGATCTGCCTGCTGTGAGCCAAGACTGTAGGTGATGGAGCCAGCAGAGGTGCCAGCACCCAATGTCCCACATGGACTTTTGGGGAAAGTTCTGGTTCTCCCAATCTTTCTCTGCCTCCCCCCAATCTGCCATTCAGTTTTTCCCTAGCATGAAGCCAGAAGGAGCATGGAGGGAACACAAAGCCCTACAAACCCCCTCACTGCTTCTCCCAAACCGCCTTTCCCCTCTCAGCAGCTTTATCAGCCTCTCCTCCTTTGCCCTGAGTGCTGTTTTGACTAGACAAGCGAGCTTGGAGTGTTCTCTGCTTTTTTTCCCCCTGCTCCTCGCTGAGTATCACTCGTCTCCCATCCCTCCTCGGCGGCAGTGCTGCCTCTGCTGCCTGCGAGCACAAAGGGGAGTGAGTCAGCCCCGCAGGGAACACCGAGTGCTCCAAATGCGAAGCAGATGGGATCGAGGAGTCTGGTACAAATTGTCCTTTTTACTTCATTGAGACTCTCTAACCCCCCCGCCCCCAAGACGTCTCTCCATGTTCTTCAGGAGTAGGGCTGAAAACGAAATGGTTCCTTTGCCATCCAGGCCCTGGTTGTGCCAGCCCTAGGTGTGACTCGGCCCCGTGTTATAAATTAAAAATGGTGAACGTTGCAGATGGTTTCCTATGAGTGCATACTTTGGTGCTGGCATTAATTCACTGGGTGAGTTTTTTCCTTTCTTAGTGCTCCACCTTTCTCTGAATGCTCGCAGAGTGCATCGAGCCAGAATTGATGTTTGCAGCACATTGACTTCTGTAACGGGATGGAAATCAATACAAAATTTCACTTTCTCTATTCAGGCTGAATCAGATGAGCATTCTGAGCCAAAGTAACAGAATTTGTCATAGGTCGAAGAGAAACGGTCAATCAAATTTATCCCAACCCTGTGTTTTGGTGCTTTTCATTGTAATGAAGTGGTCAAACTGCTAAAGCCTGTTTCCTATAACACTGAGTCACAGCACAGAAGTTTTCATTTTCAAGTTCCTTCTACTATTTAATAGATGTGCGTAGGGTCCCACAGGGCCTTCAGGGATGTTGGCAACCAGATACATTTGTTCCCCATTTCCCTAGAGGATAAATTTGTTTTTCCTATTTTTGGTGCTACTCATTCATAAGGATTGTATAACACACCGCAGGCTTGAGGCTCTTCTTGTCTTATGCAAGATTTGCTCTGGGTAAAATTTAAGATTTTACAGTTATTATTATATATATATATATATATATATATATATATATTTATTTATTTATTTTGATAAATGCATTTTAACAGAAATTTCCCAAACCACTTTTGTGGTGTGATGTTTGCAGAAACACAAATCAATGTTGGGGGAATGCACTTTTTAAGTCTATACCTAGCGTTTACTCATTTCAGCCATATTTTGATATCCGAAGCCAGGAAATAAACCCCACATCAACACCAAGTTGGCACCCATCTTAGGAAAGTAATAATGAAAAACCAGAATCCATCACAATGAGCAGAATGAGTAAAAAGCATTAACGATGGCCGGCTCCGGCGAAGTCACAACCTGCATGCACGGAGAAAAAAAAATCCAACCTCATTGGATAAATTATTTGTTGCAAATTATTTCTCCAGCTCTAATTAGTAATCTTCATTTTACACAGTAGGCTTCTAATGACCTGCTTGACAACTGTGATGCCTGACAGACAGAGGGGATTTGCATGAAAACAAGCGTTGTTTTCTCCCATCCCGCATAGGACGGCAGCGGTGAGGATGCGCTGCTTCACCCCGCCCGAGTGGAACAACCGCGCACCCAAGCTCTGGGTGAAAGGAGATAATTCAGCTATATTTGGGGAAATAGGAGAACAAGGAGGCACTAATTCGAAGCAGAAATAATAGCACCCAGCGCACAAACAAGCTTAATCAGACGCGGTTGCTAAGTGGAGTCATGTGAATAGCAGATGATGGGGGAAAAGCACAAGACAGAGCTCTCGATGAAAACACGGGGACCCGGCATTAATAGGTCCTGCAGTGTTGTTTTCTGTGATTGAATTAACTTCTGCCTTTTTATAGCAAGGGTTTTTAAATGCTGGACCTGTTTCAAGTGTGTTATCGTGTCCTGTCTGTTCATAATTGACGGGGTTGGGCTCTTTCTCTGACTTGAATTTCCCAAATTCAGAGAGGCTCGAGCGAAAGACGATGATCTTGCCAGCCACTAACAGCTCAAATAAGGTTAAAAAGAGAAAGAGAAGATCAGGATAATACAACAACGATGTCCCCCGCTGCATCTCTAAGGGTTTCTCCCTTTCCCTGGGAGTTGCAGTACTTTTTGGTGATCTCAGCACTTTACTCCCAGCCTGGTGCAGCACATCTTGTGCTTTGACAGCTCACTGCACCTGGAAATTATTACTTGATAAAAACTGGCAACTTTGCTCATTTTGGAAGGTTTTTGGGAGCAGGGCTTTTTCCCTTCTTGCTTTCTGGTCTCCTATCCACCACTCTGCTGGTGCCAAAGGAGCTGGAAGTGGTGTGACCGTGAGGTGCATGAGGCAGCACAGCACTGCCCGTGTGCTAGTGGGCGATGTCCTTTGAGGGTCTTGGTCAGTGGGTGAAAATGGCTTTATTGCAGCAGGGAAGGGGTCAGGGGCTGTATTTTGGGACATAGGCACTGGGTGCACACACGTGGCCTGGCATCAGGTGAGTTGCCACGGGATCTGTGTCCTTATTTTGTGGTAAACATGAACACGAGGGTTTGAATTGCTGCAACAAAGCCATGTGCTGCTGGGGTAACTGGGATCAGAGCCCGACCCCAAGCAAGCGATTTTAGCTGATCTGTGTATTTAATTTTATTCAAAATAATATTGTCGTCACATCGACTCATGAAGAAAAAGGCAATTTTTAGTCGCTGGTCATCCCAGTCACTTGATTTCTCTTTTAGTGATATGGCAAGTGATCTCCCAGCAAAAAAGATAAAAGATGTAATAAACCACTTCCAGCCGTTTCTCTGCAAATTGATCCCACTCCTTCGTCATGTATTGTTGATCTTCTAATTTAATCGCTTGTCCGGAGGGCACACACAACTCTGGAGGAAGTAAAAATGTCACACACGAGAAAAAAAGGAGACTGGGGATGTCTGCTCTCACAGCCGTGCTGGTGGATGCTGCGATTTCATGACTGGTTGAATTCTTTTGGGGAGGTTCTGGTTGTTTTGTTTGCTTGTTTTGTAGGGTCAGGAGTTTGCTGAAATGGCCTTGTGTGCCCCCAGGTGATGGCAGCTGGGGGCTGAGGCTCGTATCTGGTGTTATGTGGCTCAAAAAAGGAAATGGGCTGTGAGTGCGGGGCACGGGCTGTGTTGGCACACAAGGCAGCAGTCTGGCCAGGCAGAGTTCAGCCTGTTTATGCTGGTGAAGGACGTGGCCCCAGAAGGAGAAGAGGTCCTGGGCTCTGCTTCCATTCTTCCTAGAAGAGACATGCTAAAGAAATGACATGCTAAAAGTCAAACTTGTCACAGGACAGCGCCCATCCTGCTAGAGCTTTCTTCGGAAACGTTTCTTCATCTCAAGCCACAAAGCGCTGCCCCAGCAGAACCCGTGCCCCACAGCAGTGACCAGGACGTGGTAAAAAATCTCAAAACAAAAACTCCATGGGTTTTGAAAGCCCTTTCCTGTCCTGCTCCAGAAGGGGCTGTTAATTGTAGAGCATCTCAATTGCAGAGAGCCTGACTATTGAGCAGCAGAGGCTTTTCGAGCCTAGCCAGCTGTGCGGGGCTTTTGTAAGTTGCTCCCGACGTCATAGAAGCTCAATTTAGTTAGCATTGCTCAGAATTTGTATTGCCACTGGTGGTAAATACGTCTATATGCATATTTCATTGCAGAGACCCCTACAAACATCTAGGAACCAAAACTTCCCTTCCACACCCCAGCCACCTAAATTAGATTATATCCTGATTACATAATTACTGTATAACAAGGTTTGCTCGGCCTCTTGGTGCACAATGCCTGTTTTCATAGCATTTTAATATGAGCAACATAATAGGCACCAGCTTGAATAGCCGCATGCCAGCGAGGCATTGCATTCCCCAAACCAGCCTGGGTTTGTGAAATCTGGTCCAGCTGCTCAGCACACAGAGGGGTGACGAGCAAACCCCTTCCAGAACATGGGGCTGGGAATCAAACGGTGCACGGGAAGCCTCCCCTGGTCCCTGACCCGAGGTGGGCAGCTTGACAGATCGCCCTGCCTGGGTTATTCCTTCAGGCTGCCGCAAGCCGCGTGCATTTGTGCCTCGTCCCTCATGCATGTGGTGCCTGCACCAGCGCTCGCAGATCTGGACTGATAATGTTCCCACTGATACTGCTCGGGCTGCTGCTGCTCTGAGCTTTCTTCTTTGCCCTGAGCAAGCGATTTAAAATGGCTCAAATCCTGCACAAGGCTCATTTTTTTCCAATAAGTTAGGCAGGGAATTTGCTCGTGTACTCAGCTCCATCTGAATGGTACGGAACTGGAACAGCCTATAAACAGCGATGTTTATGGGCTCATCTTTTAAGCTTTATTGTTTAGGCAATGGGTTTTACTTGGATGGCTGGAGACCATCCCTCCTCGCGCAGAATGTTTTACCGGCTCCAACAATAACTGCAACCCGCTCTTCCTGCTTTGCATTTATTCCCAATTAAAGTGAGCGGGCCAAATGCTACCAGATGCAATGAGCACAACGTTTATGGTCAATTTACCCATGGCTCCAACAGGTCCCGTCACTCAGAGGTCACCACATGTCTTCTGGCCCATTTCTTACTGCAAACACTTTGGCTTTTCTTTCATAAACCCCTTACACATCCTTCGCGGCCTCACTGGATCATCAGCATGTCTCTGGAAGGAGCTGATATTGGTGGGGGCCCCAGTTCCAGCTGGGCTTGAGCAGAAACAAGGCCGAGACCCATCTGTCTGTGGTGGCAGAGGTGTCCATCCATGTTGTGTTAGGCTGTGTGAGCTTAACGTGAGGTTTTGACGGGCCAGCATAGGTGAAACACTACCTGAAAAAATGAGAAACTTTGAGAAACTTGCAGGCACTGAAGGAAAGGGTTTTAAGTTTGAAGTGTACCGAGGTGGGCTCTCAGGCTATTATGAGTTAAAGTTACAACATTAATTTCTCTTGATATGCTAAAAAGCTGCAGCGTTGACTGCTCCAGAGCCAGGCTTTTGCCAAATTGTGCTGGGGTGTGAGGCTGCTGGGGAGCTCCACAGCTCTGGTCGGCACTGGCTTGGCACACGTCTAGGTCTGTCCTCCTCGGCTGTGGTGTCAGACCCACTACCCCGTGCAAATTAATTACACAGAGCTTTCAGTCACAAAATGTTCTAAAAAGAGCCTCAGTCATAAAAAACTGCTAATTGTGGGTGAAGGGAATTAATTCGTGCTCATCCTCGGGGAAAGCTATGACTGGCGTGATAAGGAGACAAATGACTTCTTGTGGAAGTTTGCCTGAGCTTCCCCATCTGGGCTGGGCTATGGCCAACGAGGAAGGGGAGCTCTGGTTTTGGGGGAGCACCCTGCAGGAGTGCTCCCAGGGACACGGCGTTTTGCTGTAAGGTGCTGTCCTCATGCAGGTTTTTGAGCACAGGGCACAAAGGACAAGCTGTCATCGGGTCCCTGAGCTGACGGCTGGGTATTTTGCCTTTCCCTCAACCAAAATCAGCCCCGGCTCAGGAGGAAGCTGCGGTTCGTGTGCTGAAACAGGCTGCAGCAGGCAGGGCTGGAAGCAGGAGCACAATCTCCCCGCGCGGTGATTTCCCCGTTTCCTGTGTATTTTGGAGTCTGGTAATGAACCCAAGTATCCTCACATGGGAAAGGCAGCCCTTGGGTTTCCTTCACATGCCAGAGGGGTGAAGCATGTGGTCATGGTGAATCTGGCAAAGAAAAACTGTTTCAATTCTTCCCTGTAAACTTCCTGCATAGCACAGCAAGGGGCTTTGCTGTTTAGAGAGAAGCTGAGCATTCAGGGCACATACTGCATTGCAGAAGTGTTGTGTCCTGCCCTGAAACAGCAGCTCCCCTTCTCCTGGAATAGCAGTCGTATAAGGCCCAGATTTCAGATATCAATGCCAGCAAAGTCCTTCAGATGACTCTTTGCTGTTCACGAGACCTGGGTGACCAAAGAGCAGTCAGCATCACTGCAATGGGCTTCGCCACCCAGCAGCACAAGCGGGGGGCTGGTACATGAAAGGGGGACTTCATTTAAACCATCTTCTTCTTTGCCAAAAGCAATGGTTCATGCTATCACAGATCAGAGAGGCAATATCTTAGGGTGTTGGAGGCTGGGGAGGGAACTGCTGGCATCCAGCCGGGTGATTCCTGTTGATGGTCTCCTCTTACGTAAATCAGTGACTGTCTCAGAGGTTTAGTTAGTCTGGAAGATTGCAAATTTTCCCAAAGTTTTCTCAGACTTGCAGGTTTTGTAAAGTTATATTACTCAACAAGGAAAAAAAAAAAAAAAAAAAGCTGGCATTATTCCCCTTGTGCACAGACCCAGCACAAGAGATGCAGTCCTTCCACCTACAGGGCTTCGATAAGCCCCTCTGCACCTGCAGCAACGGGGAGGTGTTGTTCCTCAACAACAGACTGCCCATACCTGGCAACTTCCTTTTATCAGTTAAAAGAGCATTTCTTCCACGTTACGATGTCAGGACTAAACCGCTCAGCAGCTTCCTTGGTGTGACCTACAGGCTCTGTATGTAGCTGCAGTGTGTCCCTTTGGGACGGAGAGCAGCAGCGATGCTGATGGTCAGCAACACGTGGGGCAGGAGGGGAGATGCCAGCGATTCCCGGACAGATGCCCGCTCCTGCCAAGTATGCCATCGTGCCTCAAATGTCCCTGCAGAGCAGATATTTTTAAAGTCTTTGCTAGACCTTCGGAAAAAAAGGCAGATTTTTAAGCTCTTGCTGGACAGATGTACTGAGCAGACGGTGTGTCCATTTTGGTCGGCCTCTGCCCCTCCGGGGTGCTGGCAGGGCTCCTCGCTGGGTCAGTGTGATCCCAAGAAGCAGAACATCTCAGACAGGTCATGGTGTTTATGACGTCCCGTACTTTTTTATCAAAATACCTGGATCATGCTGGTCACTGATGCATTCAGCATCCAGCCATGCCCACCCTGTCCTTGCTCCCAGCTGCACGCACACCCCGGCCACTGCAGAGGGCAGGGAAAAACCCGCAGGGAAACGAGGAGCCCTCTGCTCAGAAAGTGGGCATTTTGACAGGCTTCCATCTCACATTAGAAATGTTTTGATTTCGTTTCCTCTGCAGAACACAAACAGATTTTGAAATCTCAGAAGCTGCCATGAAACAAACCCGTTGTTCGCCGGCCAGCTCTAATTACGGGTCACAACCAACCCTTGCATAAGCCTATTGAAGTCAGAAATTATACAGGAGAAGATTCTGGCTCTGCACAATTTGTATGGAAAAATGTGATTTAGGACCATTTTTTTAAAGCAAAACTGAGTCTTAGATTTAAGATTTTTCTCTGTTCTTTGTACCCCCTTACTACTAGCAAATACCTGCAAAAAATGTCATACCTTAACCCTGGGCTGGCCATCTCCTTCCCCCATGTCCCTGCCCCTAAATCCACAGGCTGAGGCTTTCAAAGATATCTCAGAGACTTTAGAGCTAGCATTTAAATAAATAAATAAATAAATAAAGAGAGAGAGAGAAAAGAAAAAGGGAAGTGATGCCTCAGATTTCCGTCGATAGCTCTGAAAATATCAGCTTCAACAGCTCTGAAAATATCAGCCTCAACAGCTTTGAAAATACCACCCTCGACAGCTTTGGAAATATCACCCAGCACTCAGAAGTGCTGACAAACCGGGCAGATTTAGGGAAGTGCCAGACAAATGACGCAGCGCTCGGGCAGGGGGCTTGGCCGTGGTGGGGGGCTGCAAGGGCTGGGAGAGGGAAACGCGGGGGGGAAGCAGGATGGTGCTCGGGCAGCGGTGGTTGCTGGGGGAGAAAATCCTAAATTCTGATTAAAATCCTGAAAATCCTGATAGAGAATGCGTTGATGGCACTGCCAACAATTTAGAAATATGGGACTTTTTTTTTTTTTCCAAAATAATCAGTGCTGCTCTTGACCTGGATTCAGGCGGTTAGGCTTTTCATCCTCTCTAATCATGGTTTTATTTTCTCATCTCCGTCGCTACATAGATTTTTCTGCAATGACTAATTTCAAAGACTTTGTAAGCTCGCTGCTGAAAAACAGTGCCAGAAATATATGGTTATCAAGAATAATAGGTGCCAAAGGCACAAATCTTACAGCTGTGTGAAGGGAAAAAACGACAGTCATCTGAATATAAAATTGTTTGCATCCCCTCGTTGTCTGAGCGCTTCTGCAAAAGAAAAACAATTCTTTTTCTTTAAGTGTCTAAGGAATAACATCATAAAACAAAAAACTTCCAAGTTACTGCTAAATTTCCTTTGTGGTGTTTGTAGCAATCCCTCAAAAGGGTTAGCTCTGAGTATTTCTTAATTTTGCAAGGATAACACAGGAAATGATTGCAACTGTGTTGAGTAAGTACATAGCTTGTTTTTTCAATGAATTCATCTCAGGCAAGTCTGAACTCTTTGTGTGTTTGATTTCCATTTTTACTTCTTCATTTTGGTGCACTGAGATGGATATTTCTGGTAGGTGCAAATGAAGCATTGATTTTTTTATTCAGAACTGATACTTTGAATAATTTCAACAAGCTCTGAGGCTGGCTTAATGAGGGTCATCTTTTGGGAAGGAAAATTGCCTAGTTCATTTTCCAATACGATATTTTAAGTATAAAATCCTCATGATATTTGGAAGATCAAAAATGTTTACTTGTGGCATTCCAGTGCTTGTCTACCGCACAGTTCAGGAAGAAAAAATGTTATGTGATTGTATTGGACCCATCATGGTTCATCTCACATATCTGAAATAATCTGAAAAATCATTGCAGACCTTTTTTTATTGCAATAAAAAAATGGCATTCTTCCGTTACAGAAAATAAATAAAGCTATCATATTTTGCCCACAGAAAACCTTCAAGCAGGGAAAGAAGAGCTCACATTCCTCTGATAGTTTCTCTGTGTGTCATTAATTGCTACGATAATCCCATTGCCAAATCCTTTGGTATCTGAAAGCCTTTGCAATTGTCATCTCTAAAGTCGTAAAGCGGGGGCCCGCCTCGCCTGAAACCCTCGCTCCGCGCCCTGCCGGCTCGTGGGCTTCGCTTCTGCATGTTTGTGGGGATTTGGGGAGTTTCCAGCCCGGCGAGCGCTCACAGAGCTGCCGGCTCCGCTTGCTCATCTTAGGGCAGATGCTCCCAAAACGCAGAGGGAGCTGGGCACATGTGTTTCCAATTAACGTAAGAAAAAAAAAAAAGAAAAAAAAAAAAGGAAAGAAAGAAAAAAAATTTTTTTTTGAGGTTTCCAGATTTAGGCCTAAGTGTTTATAAAACTGGTTTCAGCTTTTAAGAATGTATTTCCTGGCTTTGAAGCTAAGAGGAGCCCCTTGACTTCATGGGACTTTGGATGGGATCCCTGCGCGTTCCTGGAGCTCCAGCACCCGAGCGGGTCAGAGCGGAGGCTGCTACCAGCCCCGGCCGGGAGGTGCAGTTTGTGTTCAGTGGTGTGAGGGCTAAAAACCCCAAAATGTCCTCAAAATCACAGTGTAGGGAAGTAGGACAGAAGATGGGGCCTATCTCCTGGGCACCGGTATTGGATCACTCCCCAAATTGGCGTCCTCCATGTTTTGTCCAAACCCATTAAAAATGACATCAAAAAGCAGTCAGTCCAAATGGAGTAGCCTGTAGTGCTGATGTTTTAAATATATAGCCTGTCCTTTTTGTCCTCTTTGGATGTTTTTGCCTCTTACGTGAGCGGTGAGAACCTGCGCCGTGTTTTATTTTCCTTCATTTCAGCATTTGATCTACCTCCACTGAAAGCTGCAGTTATTCCATAAAACCAGTCACTGAAGCAAATAATAGCAATCTTACCTCATAAAGCTGCTGAAACTGTTGAAATACATTAAAATATTAGAGCAATCATTATTAATATAAATTACAAGAAAACAGAACATTAGCTGAGCCTGTTTTAAAAACAGGAAATCTTTTCCAAGTTGGTTTTAATTTCATATAAATAACAGAAATAATTTTCCTAGGAACATGAAGGATAGCTTTATAGCATCAGCCTATCAAAAATAATGCCCCGTCGGCTCTGTTCTCTACCACTAAAGCGCTGCTTTCTCTTCAGATATAGGGGGAAGTGCTGATAATGAACATTTCATAAAAGCACAGAGACCTTTATCAAAGGGAGAGATGCATAATGCATTTTCAGAGTTATTATGGTACTTGCCTTTACACAATTATTATTTGATGTTTAGGTTTGCTTGAGAGGAACATCTGAAAAAGATCTGCTAAGTCAAATCCAATACTTTTAAAAGACACTTAATGAATTTTTCTTGCTGTGTTTATGTTGAGAGGTTATTTATTTGTAGATCATCTGTCATTTTTTTTGTTCAAAGTGTTTGTTGTTTTTTTATTTTTATTCTATTAGTAAAATTACTTGTGCAATGGTTTTATGTCTTCCCATGGAGGCAATCCTGCCAGAGCTTCATGCGTGTTGATTTAGTGCTTATGAAATAGGCTTATCTGGCCTCCCTGCAGACCAGCTTTTTCTTAATCAGTGGAGACACAGATATGGCCCTCGCTGCTCGTGCCCAACACCTCCATGCACCCTGGTGTGCTGGGACCAGGGCAGGCTCAGCCCCACAGCGCTGACGGTGCACAGAGGGGCTGGGAGATACCCTGTAGGAACCCAGTGCTCAGCCTCCCCATCCACAGCCTCCTTTGAGGTTCCCAAAACGCCCCTCCTCTGAACACTGGGGAGCCAGGTGCTGCATTTTTAGAGAGATATTAAAGTTCAGCCTGTGTAGGAACCTTTTTTTTTTTTTTTCCCTAGTAATTAAATTTTCCGTTCCTTAATTTCCTGAGGAATTCCTGAAAATTTTCATGAGAAATCACATGTGGGGAGAAGGGAATCACTCCGAATCCATTCAAACAATGCAATACATTTTCAGCTTCAACAATTTCCTACTTCAAGCCCTCCATGCCACTGTACATGACACAAGAGCCAGGAGATGGCTGCAGCACCCACATCGTGGTGGTGGCTGAGCTTTCCCCATGCACGAGGATGGCACTGCTTGGATAGAAAAGGGCCGTATCCTGCTTTTCCTCGGGTAAGGCTCCCCCATCTCACCCAAACCCGTGTCCGGCACTGCAGGGTGGTTGCCAGGAAAGCTGCAGTGATTGGCAGCCACTTTTCACCTGGGGATTCAGCTCCAGCTCCAGCTCCCCAACAGCTTAATTTAATTGACAGAACATTAAGCTGTGTCACATCAGTATTAAAAATAGATGGGACGGACCAGACATCTGATTAACAGAAAGGGGGAAAGGGTTCTGGATTTTCCTCCCAGTGTCTCTCTCACGGCTGCAGAGGCTATCAGAGCCCAAGCAGCAGGCAGCACCCAGAACATTGCTTTAAACTGAGGGGTTCATCACAGCCATGCTCCTTCCGTGCCCAGCCCTGCCTGGCTGGCACCTCCCTGCCCTCATTAATGGCCAGGAAGTAAAGAGGCGACTGTCAGGAGAGCTGCCAGATCGGGCCCCAATTTTTGCAGGTTGCCTTAAGCAGCCAAGCTCATCAGATATTTTGTGTGGAAAGAGCAGAAATTAATAATGGAGGTGTGTGATTCTAGCCATAAAATTAATCCTGACAACCCCACAAGGATGCATAGCAGCTCCAGGAACCCCAAGGAGATATTTTAAGGCACTAGCAGGTACCAGGGCTGATGAGGGTGTTTCCAGCAGTAATAAACCTGTGTGACTCCATCCCAGCTGCCTCCAGAGCAGTTTGTTTTATTTGGGTGCAGTGTGGAGTGCACAAATTCCCTCTGTTATGCTCCAAATGGCAGGGTCTGCAGAGATAGTAGTTCACTGTAGTTGTTCAATCTTGATTTTATCACTTGGGTGACTGGTGTGAGGTCTCGCTGCTGTCATGTTTCCCCTGGATTTTCGCTGAATTTTACCTTTTACCAGAATTTTGACAGCAGCAGGTAGAGCAGGCAGTAGTTCTGTGCTTCACATCTCCATAATATCAGGGTGGCTGCAGGCTGGGACTGGAGCCGCGGGCAGTGGGCTTCTCCCAAGCTCCACCACCTAAACCCAGGGGTTATTTTCCTGCAGACAGACAGACGGCTGCCCCCAGACACTCGTGGTACCCGCACAGACACACAGAGCAACACTGTATGGCTAGACTGGGCACTTGCTGGACGGGCACCCAACTCTGCCCCAGATTTTGTGGAGCCAACGCAAAGCAGTAAGAAACTAATGGCTCTTAGTGCTCCTTGTTTATTTTTTCCAGTCACTTGAAATATCTTCTTTCAAGGATTTTGTTTTCCTCTCGGCTTTATTGTAATTGCCTTTGATTGTTTCAAACTGGAGGAGAAAAAAAAAAAAAGGAAATTCATTTTTAACACTCAGAAATGAAAAATGTTTCTTTCCTTCCAATATTTCTCATGGATGTTTTCATTCATATCCATTCACTGAACACAGCCTGAACCAACCGACCCAGGCAGTTTTCACAAAGCAGAGCCGAGACCAGGACCTGCGGGTGGAGCAGCCCCATGGCCGGGACTGGCTCCGTGCCCCATCCTGGGGGGCTGCAGGGATGCTCCCCGCTGCCAGCATCAGCACCAAGCATGGGAAACCCCATCCTGCATTATCTCAGGATGCTGTGTTCTGAAAATAATAGGAAATGGCCCCAAATAATTAGCAGCTACTGAGCATTGTTCACCTCCTGTGTTTTCAGTGTGGTGACAGCACGGCCTCCAGCACACCATCCCTGAACCTTCCCTGGAGTGCTGCCATTGTCCCGTGCTCCTGCAGAAACCTGTGCCCCAGGGAGACAAGGCAGCGAGCAGTGGTGATGCCACCACAGAAATTGGGTCAGCTTCTGCTGGTGGAAGCCAGCATTCCTTTGCTGAAGCCCACGGAGATAAAAGAACCCAAGAAAGACCAAAATTAGGTCATTTGGATGCACTGTTCCCTCCATGCAGCAATGTAACCCTCTTCCTTCTTCCTGCTGCTCCTCAGGGCAGTCAAGTAGGTCAGGAGCACCTCCTGTCAGGCAGCTGGATCCACCAAGGTAGCTCTGAAGAGTCTCCAAAGCAGGAGGAAATTGACCCCAGCGTGTTTCACGTGCCTCAAACCAGAGAGACCAAAACACCCGCTTGACTCCCACTGAGAAAGAAGCGTAATTGAAACAAATCGGGAATTAGATTCCCAAGCAATCCAGCTTCCTATTTCCCCTCCCCAGCAGCGGAGCCAGGAGGCAATCCTGATGTTACTGCAGCCCCAACTTCTATGTGAGACAGCAACAGCGGCGCCCAGAATTTGGTCCAACAGCAATAAAAATGAATAATACTAATTTCTGCAATTATTTACCACTCACAGGCAAATTAGTCATCCCCTTGCCATACCTGAGAAAGTAGATGCCACAAAATACCTTCAGTGCCATCTAGCTACTAAGTTACATGAAGAGACATCTGCAAGGAGCCTTGGTCACCACAAGGCCCAGCAGTGGCACCTGTGAGAAAGGTACAGGAGGGCATGGATCTGGCCTCACGCGTGGTGAGGACTGGCAGGGGCAGAGGAAGGAGCTGGTGTTTTGCTTCTTCCACTCTCAGCCCACGCCATGGAGCGCTGCCACCAGTCTGCTGTGTCCCACACCATGCAAAAAGCGATGAAAAGCCAAGCAGAATTAATTTCAAGAAGTTGTTTTTATGACGTGCTGTGTTTTGCTGAGATTGTTCTACTCACAGAGTAATTTGTCCAGATAAAACCCGACTAGAAATGACCTTATGGTCTGGGTATGACGGCGTTGGAGGATGCACACACACCCATGCTCACACCGCATCCAGCCCGCAGCACTGGGCCAAGGCTCAGCTCAGTGTATGGGGTGGGCGAGCACCCCACACACCCCAAGGGCCTGATCCTGCTCAGGGTGCATGCTTGTAAGGAGAAAAACGAGCCCCTCCGAAGGCAGGGAGCCCCTCTAGGCGAGACCAGGCTATCCCCACAGCAAAATGGTGGCAGTTTCGGGGAGCTGGGCCCAGCTTGGACCAGCCCACAGCCTGTCCGCAGTGTCAAAGTCATTGGAAAAAGATTAGGAGTGTATTAATAATTGGAGTCGATGCTGAGCAGTGCTAGGCCTGGTCCGGGGCCTTGCTGGCATCCGTATGGCACCCACAAGGCTTTTTTATACTCAAAGCTTTCAGCATGAAAGGTGTTTCTACTGTGGCGAGGCCTGACAGCTCCAGCCACAGAAAGCCACAGCCCTCAGGTGTCCCTCGGAGCTGGAATTACCACACAGACACTTCAATAAAATCCAGCCTGGTGCTCAGGCTGCCCCCACACCTGATTTACACCAGCCGAGAAGAGACCCGACCCCCAGGGCCAGGTGTGGCCTGTGGCCGTATGTGGGCAGCTGAGGTGATTTAAGAGCTGCCGGTGTCAGTCACAGCAGTCTCAGAAAACACCAGATTTACCCTGCAGTCTGTACCAGGAGCATGGACAACTCCCGGCCAGAAGAAATCAAGCCCAAACCCTTTTCCACAGCCCAATGCCCAGGTTGTGAAGCACAGGAAGAGCAGTAGCTGAAGCTGGTTGCAGCTCTATGTGGATAATTTCTATCAGTATTATGTTACTGTGTTGGAGCGGTGATGCATAATGTATGGCCGGGCATCTCTGAAACAAATATTTTACCTTTAATTTAGAAATCTCTGAGACATTAGAGAAGTCCTCTGGTTACGTGGCACAGATCTATGGGGAGTCAGCAATAGTGCAGTCTTTAAAAGAAGTTATGGGAGTGGTGCAAAACACCTGTGCTGGGAAGGGGAGCAGGAGCTCAGCACCCAGCAAGGCCAGAAAATAAGAGCCCCGGGGAAAAGAAAAGCATTAGGATTTCAGGTAGCATTGCACTATGGCAGATTTGGAGCCCCAGATGCTGTTTCCAGCTCTGTACCCTGACCCCCTTCTTCCTCTAGGTCTGCTCCCAGCTGCACATAGGGGCTGCAGCTGCCAACCCCTGCACAGGGGCGCTGCCTGCCCAAGTGCTGCCCAGAGCACAAATGAGGCAATTTTGGGATCAGTGTGAGGATCTGGGGATCTTTCTCATTATCTAACCATCAGCGGATTTAGCGCTTGTTATTAACAGATTTTTGTCCAGCAGCCTGTGCAGCTTTCCATATAAAGACAAAAACGCTGATCAATATTTAGCACAAACACAGCGTGCTATTAATTCCTCCCTGAGAGGGGGTTTTACCCAAGCTGAATTGCAGGAAAAACCTGCAGAAATGATAGCAGTCCCAGACTTCTTCCAATATTACTGGGAAACAAAGTGGCTCTGTGTGCTAGCAGCACAGCATACCCCTCCTGAGACCTGCACTTGGCTTTGGGTGAAAAAAGGGTAAAGGAAGGGAAGAAAGGCACTGCAAGGGCTCAGGTGTAGCAGATTGGCACATTTACTCCACCAAGCATGGGGCTCATCTCCCTAATGCTGGCCGTCCCCCGGGCCATGGCGTTCAGGAGGTGCTGATTAGCCTGGCCTGTGCTTGGTGACAATTAGCAAAAAAATAGCAAATAATTAGCCAGGGCTCCACTATATAAAGAAGGCAGGGCAGCAGGACCAGCCCCTTCCTCCTGGAAGCTGCTGCTGAGGGAGGCACAGGAGAAAATCTAGCTGGGGAGGACAGAGAAGCCGAGCACAGCTCAGATGAGGACTGATAAGCACTAATTCTGGTGCACAGTGCCTGAGGGGAGCTTCTGCACCTTGCTTCCAGGGTCTCATGGTAAATGCCTTCCCTAGCAGATAGGGACAGTGATGTGTTCGAGCTGAATGGCTGAAGCAGGCAGAGCACAGCGTAGAGAGGGCAGGTTTGTAGCCTGGGCTGAGTGTTTTGCTATTATTAATTACACTCGTGACCAATACCATCCGTGAGTCAGCAGGAACCTGCTTGGCATAGGCAGGAAAGGCAGTGCCCTGTAAGTGCTGAAGCCAAGCGGGTCCCTCTGCATGCCGGGGGGTTGTCCTATGTCTCACCCACCCCACAAGAGCCCTGACACCAGAGCTGCCTGGCATGTGTGCTTGGTGTCGTGGTAAAGCCAGCAGTGTTGGAGTATGCCTGGTTTGGGGGCATGGTGTGGGGCTGTGGGGGTCCCTGGTCTTGGGGGGCCACCAGGGATGGGGAGAACCATGTGGGCACTCCTGCCCCTGCTTTATTTATTCCATAAGTATAAAACCAGCTGGAAGATACTTGAGGTTATCTGGATGTTGACGTAAATTAACCTCTCCTAAACAAATGAGCCACTTCTGATTCACTTGTAAGAAACTTGGGCCCCTACAACCGAGCTTCTTTTACAGCCATTAGTGCATTTTGAATCATAAAGCGAGAGGGCACCATTTTCAGTGAAAGATGCCAACTGTGAGTCTTGTCCAGAGATTTGATTTAGCAGCAGGAAGACCGTACTGAAATATTTGAGTCCGTAACAATTAATGACCATATTCGGGGGTTTATAGCTGTGCTGTGGATCCCACCGTGGGTCCCTGTTGCTTTTCTGCAGTGCTAACAAACGCGGAGGTTGCGTGTCTTTACGCCCAGTAATTGCCTCCCCGGCCACGCTAACTTCACAGAGATGCACTGTTTTTCAAGACCCGCGTAAGGCCTTGACCTATAAAATTCAATTTCAAATGGTAAAAATCCCCTGGCCACCGTAGATGCTGGTGACAAACTAATGTGCTATGTTCCATAACCATCTGTTTTGAGTACTGGCTTGACCTGTAAGTGTTCGGGATACAGCCTGACTAAAACGGGTTTTATTATTTTCCATTAGTACCTGCCGCAACAAAATCAACTGGCAGTCCACAGGGGAAATAAAAGTATTTTCCTCCTCCAGATAGCATCTGCTGCAAATGTAAACGGACCCTTTCCCAGCCCTCTCTTTCCTTTGGCTCCCTCCCAGGCACCCGGCTGATGTGATTGAGTTTCCCCAGGTTTCGGCTTAGTTGGTGAGCCCCGGGGTTTTGGGCTGTTGGGGGACCCTCACCCGGCCACGCTGGGCCACCAGCAGACGTGGGGCACCCTTGGGGACACTGGGCAGCCACGGCAGGTCCCTGCCTGGTTGTGCCTTCCTCCCCAGGAGCACGCAGCTGGTTGCGTTCCCTGGGTTGCATCCCAGTGGTGCCCACCCGTGCTTGTTTGCCCTCCTCTCGCTTCCAAAATCTCCTTCCTTTTTTTTTTTTTTTTCCTTAAGGAGGATTATTCAGTTAAAAATAAATAAATAATCCTCCAGCATTAAAACCTTTCTCACGTTGTCTCATCTCAGTAAAACAATGACATTTTCCCCTCTTTGATGCTAAGATCTAGCTCCGCAGGAAATTTTACTACCACGACTCTTTCATCTCTCTCCTGGTTTGAAGATAAATGATCCTTGGACTCTTCTGGACCTGCATAAATCACAAAAGCAATCTACTAAGAGAGCTGCCTGTGGCACCGACTTCAGCTGGAATTGAAAAGGACAGTCAAAAATATCCACGGTGCTTACACACGGGGTAACCTAAACCATCCTCTGGGCAAGAGGGGAGGAGGCAGGCGGTGGGACCACAACTCGCTCAGGTGGGAAGGACCCAAGGAGAGAGAGCACCACAGCTCCTGAGGCTGGGCACGGGGCTCCATCCCAAAGACAGACAGGTCCCAGCGCATCCTCTTGGGGCACTGAATTTGCCCCCAGGTGTCAGATGGGTGTTACACCGTCCCTGTCCTAACCATGGGGCTTGCCCCTTAACCCATCTCTGGACAAGGGGCTGAGGTCAGTGAGGTGTCACCTTTGAAGTCTGGGCTTCAGGAGGGGCAGCTTGCCATATATTTGACTGATCTGAGCCTTTGATGAGGTTTTATCTACAGGATGGGGGAGCTTCAATGCTCTGTCAGTCTCAGTGCTGTATTTCTGTTCTCAGGAATGTCCCATGAGGGTCCAACCTGATGGTGATGGCACCCAAAGCACCAGCGACGAGGCACAAGGTGAAACCCCCCCATGCTCTGCTCTCACTTGAGAGATGACTATGTGGTGGCACCGGCACCCAGCTCCTGCACCGCCAGAGCAAACGTGCCTGGATTCAGGTAAACCAGCAGCAAAACCCTGCTGCAGGAGGTTTGTGCACCAGCCTGCCCCCAGCTGCTGTCCCTCGGTCCCCATCCCGGGGAGCTCACAAGCTGCAGCTGCAGCCAGCGCTGCTCCAAGAGCTGCTGATGCAGCGAGCTTTGGCGTGCAACCTCTGCTGGGTGCCTTGTGCTTTCCCGTGGGTGGGACTGTGGGCTGCCGAGCTATTTTTGTGTCTCCCCTCGCTTTCACCTGATTGCAACCGGATACCGCAAGCCCCAGCAGCCCCGAGCGGAGCGCGCTGCATTGCTCATGTAACACACCATATGCTTTCGGGCAAGGAGACAGGATTTCACGCCGCCAGGCCAGCTTTTTTTATATATATATATATATTCTTCTTAAGAAAATGTTTAAAGCTGTACTTGCAAATTTGTTGTGTTGCTCAGAGCTCCTTGTAATTCCGGGACATCTGCAGAGATCATTCGCAGTGTCGCTCCTCATTAGCTGAGGTGTTATCTTGAAACTGGATTTAAGGCAGCTCCCTGAGATGCTCAGCTCCTTCCAGTCTGATGCGGTGCTTCACGTCCCATTTCCAGTCATACAACGATGATCCATGGCGAAATCATTTCAGCTATGGAAACGGGTATTTACCTCAAAATATCCCCACCAAATACAGTGGCTGCTCTACGGATGAGTTAGCAAGCACCCAAGGTGTGCAGCAAGCAGCACTGGGTCACAGGGACGCCAGGCATAAAGCGCAGTGGTGCCCTCCATTCCTCCCTCATCTTGTTTGGTGCTGCAGAGAGGGCACCCCTCGCCCTCCATCTGCTTTATTTAACTTTGGCCACCTTCATTTGAGACGTATAGACCCCTCTAGATAGCATGTGTCATCGGAGCTGGTTTGCAGGGCCTCCAAAGGGCCCTGCCTCAGCGGGGTTGACTGCCGGCCTCTGGGGTTCTGGATTTCCTGAAGCAGAAATCTGGGAAATTTCTCCTTTCTTCCACCACAGAGACACACCCAGAGGCAGCATCTTTCTCTGTAATGCTGAGCTCTTCTCCTGGGATAATTAAATCAAAAACTCAAAGCCCTTCAGGCCAGCTTAGGGATTCCCATGCTGGAGTAACTTTGCCAGAGCTGGTGGGTCGGGCCTGGTTTTCGTGGCTGCTTTATTTTTCCCATTTTTCTTTTCTGACTTGGAAAAACAGCAGCAGAAGTGTTGCTGTGGCATTTTCCTCATGAGTAATCACTGATCTCATTTTGGTTTCTGCCACCCTTTTGTTTAGGCACAGCTGAATGATGGCCTTTCACCACAGGACTTTGTGGGAGACAACAAATAGAGGCAGCCTGGTGAGCGAGGAGCCCGGTGAGCGGGGAGATGATGGTCAGGAGAGGAACGAGCCTGGAAAGTGACAGATGGACAGGCTTGACGTGAGGAGATGACAGTCAGGAGTTGCAGGTGTGGAAGAGGAAAGGCAAGGAAGGCAGCATGCTTTGCTGTATCAAAGACTGACTTCTGCACGGTCTTTGTGTCCCCGTTGATACTGGGTCACTGGGATCATGGTGGAATGATGATGAAATATCTCTTTTCATCAGGTGATTTTTACCAATAAATATGTGTGTGTGTGTGTGTATGTGTGTATATATATCAATGAGCTTCTGGGCCTGTTGAATCGCAGGTGGAAGGGAGAAATGGTAGAGTCCAGCGACAGGTCCAGGAGGCTTTGCTGGCATCCAACACCAGCTCTTGTGCTCAGATGGCTCAGGTAGGTGCATTTCTCCTCAGAGCTGGAGGACTGCAGGCCCACAGGGAGCCCAGCACATCTCGAGGGTGCAGTTTTATGAAAATGTCCTTTTCCCTTTACTAAGAGGATGGTTACAAAACATACTGAAATTTGTTTTTTACCCTTTAGAGCTTCCAGAACGTTGTGCTCATCTATCTTATGTTATTTTTCTATTTGTGGTTTTGAGGTCATGGCTTGAGAAATGTTAACTCTTCGAGTGAAGTTTGGAGCCAAAACCAATTCTTCTTGGAGGAAATACCAACATTTCTGCTAGTGCCTCATAGCTGAAAAACAGAGATGAATACATGGCAATTGATTTATCTTGCTGATCAAAAGGTGCCTCAGCAAAGTTACGTACTCATGGAAAATGCTGTGTGATGGAGTTGGGTGGATAGTGCAAACAAACAGAAACTTTCCCACAAATATTTGCTTGTCTTAAATTAATCTGCTTGGCTCTGCTCATGGCTCTCCAGAGTTTATTTTCCACAAATATTCTAACAACAGCTCATTGGCAGCAATACACACTGAAACCGCTCAAGGTAACATCTGAGGAAACTATTTTTGAAGGTCTGTCTTAAGGCCAGCATCCCCCAAACCCTGCTACATCTGTGCCTCTAGACTTGGCAGCCCTGAGGAAGGGGCAGCGCATCATCTGCCTCCCTTGGAGGAGGCCAGACGTGGGGATGTGGCTCTGAGTCACGGCTCGGATCCTCATTTCCCTCCTGACAAAGATGATGATTAACCGGGGACAGCTGGAGAACTGAGGCTGTGTTTCTGTGAGAGAAGGACTCTAGGAAGGCTTTTTCTTGCTCCCTGCCTTTGCGTTGTATGAGGGCAGGAGAACCAGGGGTGTCCCCTCCTTCCTCTTCCCTGCATGCATTCAGCTCAGCGCTGAATTCCTGGGTTGTCTTGTGACCACAGGATGTGGCAAAGTACCCAAGCATGTGGGTGAACAGTCTTGTTGCACCCCAATTTTGCCATCTGAGATGGCAAAAAGGCAACAGCATGAAGGCTTGGGGAAAAATCTTCCTTCCCTTCCTGGGACACTTAGGAGAGCAAGATCCTGCTGGAGCAGGCTGCAACATGAATCCTCCAGGCAGTTTATAAATAGCTGGAGAGAAGTGAACAACATTATTCTAAGTTCACGAACTAGTCTTCATATTCCTTGCAGCAACCGCAAGGCAGTTTGAGTCAGACTTGTGAATACGAGGCTGGGAGCATCTTCTCTCTTCTGTGCTGGAGCAGGGTGCAGGTCCCCGAGGGAGTCCCCGCAGCACACATACCTTGCACTGCAGAGCCTGAGGCCCTCACGTCTGGCTTCATTTCAAGTCAGAATAAAATTCCCGAAATTCTCCTCAGAGCCAAAGGGAAGAAGGCTCTGGATAGGTCAAAACATATAATTTTTATTGCGGCTCCTTTATTTTCTATTATTATAAAATACAAGATGTTCCAGAGTGAAATATATATATGTGTATGTATATATTTCACTGTTTGCTGTTTCCTTTTTTTTTTTTTTTTTTTTTTAATTCTGCTTACCCATTAGGGGAACGTGCACAATTTTGAAAGCAGTTTGATGGAAGCATGTATTTCATTGGGGAAGAGTTTTGAACTTATCTCATCAGCTCTATTAATAGCACTTAGCACTTACTCGGGTATCTTAACCAGGGTTTCTCAAAGCGCATTATGAAAGTATATCATTAGCCCTATTCTAGATCGATCTGTCTAAAGCTGAGCCGGAATGTTTTTAATTTGACTTCTAAATCACCACTGCCAATATGTCTCTGTGAGCTACACTGGTACAGTCAGGAAATGAAACAATTTCTCATGATGCACGTCAAAATTAGCCAGCACAAACTGGCTACGGGCCCCCAGGACAGGACAGTCCACTGCACCAAGAATCAGGAAATTCTTCTCTGCCACCACGTTCCCACAGGGCCATTTGGAAGTCTCTGCATTGCGCATCTTTTTTTTTTTTTGTCCCTTTTTAGGCTGCTGGCTGCATTGAGACTGGAAGTCCTCTGGAAAAAGCACTGCGGCATCCCTCGGCCATCGGTGGCAGTGATACGGAGCGGGTGAGCCACGCAAATCATTTTGGAACAGGAGATGAGGCAAGGTGGAAGCAAAAAACCATAAGCATTTTTTCAGAACTGCTGCTTGAAAAGATTTTAAGAACCCTTTTGGGTTTTGGCATCCTTTTTAAAAAAAAAAAAAAAAAAAAAGGAACTGCACAAAAATTAGTCACCAAACTTACAGAAAGGAATGACAGTCACAAAACAGGACCAGAGGCAGTTGTGATATTAGCAACCACCCCTTCGACACGGTGGTTACGTAGGCATTGAATGAGAAAGGCAGGAGGGTATGTTTGTAAAGAAAACCTGTTTTTCACAGGTTGCCCCTTCCACAGTGGCAGACCACAGATTGAGAAGAGCTGACTACCCTTCCGGTGGCAGTAATGCAATGACGCTGCTCAGAGCGAGGGAGAAAAACACCGGCTGATTTGCTTTGCGTCATGTTCTGGTAACCTCAGAATTAACCTTGCTGGACACAGATCTGTTAGCTTTTACCATGCTCCCCCAATTAATCTGCTGAAGTCTGGGACAGAAATAGCTATCCACAGCTGTTACGAATTGATATGTTCCCTGATGATGCTTGGCACTGCCTTCAGAAAAAAGAAAACTTTCTTATTTTATTCTTTGCTATGAAGTTAATTTTTTTTTCTATTTTTACTATTTTAATGCTTTCTTTGCAAACTGATGGCATCAGACTGCTCGGCTTTGCTTTGATTGGAATGGAAGGCAGACTTGCTACTTGAGGACACTCCGTAATGGTAACTTCAGAGCTGTTATTTTTGTTTTAGAAAAAGGAAGGGTGGAGGGAGCTTGCGGGGTGCACAGCTCTAAGTGCATCGGGTTACACCACAGCACGCATTGCATTTCCAGGGCTAGCGGGGAGCAACAGCCCCTTGGATGTCCTCTGCCCTGCTGGTAATGCCTGAACGAAACAGCCAGATCCACCTGGGGCCACCATCCTGCAAATGCCTGCTCACACGCAGCAGCAGCTGCGGTTTTAGTGCATGCTCAGAATGGAAATCCCCAAATCTGCAAACTGCAGAGACACGGCAAAATCCCCAAATCTGCAAAGCCACCTCTGCAAACCAGGGCTGTAAGTATGTACCAAGCAAACGTAGGTCTTTAGAACTGTACCCAGTGAGGTGGCTCTGATCCTTCTCACTCCTGTTTCAGGCTTCCATTCCTGACGTTTCGACAGTGGCTGAGAGTTGTATCCACAGAGTAAAGCGTTCATAGATGTTTTTGAACCTTGGATGAAAAATTAATTTAATTAACAAGAGTCAGATGATGATCCTGGGGCTCATGAGGGTTCTCTCTCTGCCAGTGTCAAACTGGAGGAAGGGGAGGAGGTGGCAGTCTCTCTTTAACAACATGTTAAACCTTTTATACAGTGGCTAAAGTGTTTTGTTAGGTGTGGTGTAAACCACGATTACAGAAAACAAAGTATGAGAAGATGTTTGAAGTGACAACAGTGACAGCAAACCCCACACCAGCTGGTGATGTGGCACAAACATCGCACACCCATGGCGCAGATGGAGCAGCCCGGGTGCCCTTGGTGATGGATGCCCAGGCATGAGGGATTTCACCGGGCACACATCTGCTAGGGTACGTTGCTGCATAATGCCGATGGGGTCTGGTTTTCTTTTCCATAATCTCCGAAGTAGCCTCGATTCAGAACGAATGAAAGCATCGAGTGTCTCCAAAAGCTCCAAATAACTCGTGTTTTCTCATCTATGCCCTCTGCTCTGCACATTACTCTTTTGTTTGTCTTCCCTCAGCGTGCATCTAGAGGAGAGATTACAAGTTGCACCATCAGCAGCCAAGCAAGGTCTGAGCCACAAGGAAAGATCTGAGTCATCTCCCCGAGAGAGTATTCTAGCCATACATCATTGTTTGTTTTCAGGCAAACCAGTACAATTATGCAACATAAATTCTTTTAAAGCATTTGGGACTTCAGTTCAATTTAAAATCCTGTAGGTTTTATGGCCAGGATGAGTGATTACAAAGCGTGTGCATACAAATGAAGACTTAGGAAGAAGCGTGTGGGGAGGATGAAAGGGCACGCGGAGCCTCGTGCACTTGCTGGGCAAGCTCCGGCCAGGCTGCAAAGAAGGGGGGAGATCTGAAGGGCCCACGTCAAAGGCAGGTTATGATATTTATGGCTCTGGAGCACGGTTTCACTCAGCCGGTGCCATGAGCGTTTTCTGTGATTGCAATCTCCTACAAACGCTTTTGTATGGGCTTCAGCAGAGCCAGGTGACTTTGCCTGGATTACCTCCTGATTTATGCTGCCTTGAATGGGGATGAGAATCTGATCTATTTAAAAACAAGACTCGGCTATAACAGAAATAGAGGGAGGCATTAAAATGTCTGCCATCTGAATATTTCATCACTCCAGGAAAGTGCTAAGCAGGGGCTAGAGGCTCAGATGCCATCCTCGGGCAGAAGGACAGGCTGGCAGTGGGACACCGAGCCCACCCGTCCCCTTGCTGTGTCACCAAGTTCCCATGGGGTAATCGGAGCCGTGTCTGAGCTGCTTTTACCCCAGCCTCTGCCTCCTTTCCCTGCTGAGGCAGCACCACATCCCTGCCGTTTAAAGACTTGGTGCTTGCTGCCCTGCGAGCTCAGCCTCCACCACATGGCCCAGGAGCTGCAGACCCAGGCGGGGAACCAGGACCTAGAGGCACAACAAGCAGAAAGCAGAGATCCCACAGCTTGGTTTAACGTGCTTCCTTCGAGACATACTGTCATGGTTTTTGGAGGCCTGGCAGTTAAATCAGTTTACAACGCCAGCTAACTATTTATTTTTTTCTTCTTCTGTAGAGAGGAGTGGAGTCTACAGTGTTTTGTTCCCTCTCTCTTATTTAGGTGAATACACCGATAGGTTTGTGTCTCAGTATTCCACTTTTACTTACACAGATGTAAATTCCACTGCAGCAGGAGGGATTATTGACAGCGGATCTGAGACGATCCAAGGCCAGACTCTGACCTATTGATTTTGCCAAGATTGCACAGGACGTATGTAGTTCATTGCAGAATACAGTCTTTGTTTGTTTTGTTTATTGCTCAATATATAACAATGTGGAATAAAGAACGACGCCAAACTGCAGAAATGCCTGAGGATTTCTCTTTAATTGAAATCAGGACTGGGATCAGGACTCCTTGTAAATCAAGAGCAGTCAGCCTTTGAGAAAATTCACTGCTTTTCCAAAGTTTACTTTCAAATGGGATTTAGCTTTAACTCTTCACCTCTCAGAGCAGCTCAGCTAAATAATCTTTAATGATTTCTCTGGAGCCACTACGTGCTGCTCAATAGCTTGAAAATTCATGGGCACAACAGATGCTGGGCAGGATTCTTGTTTGTCCTATGCATGAACTGTAGTTGAGAAAAAGCAAATCCGTGTAAATATTAGAGATATTTCCAATATCAATCCCAATCAATATTCTTGAAAAGCTAAAAACTCTTCTGAATCAGGATTTTGGTGCAGTCCATTAAAAACCCACCAGTTGTCCTTGTAAAATCATGACCTAGATCTGCATATAACTTCAGTTTGGTGCTGCTTTGCGTTAACCTTTAACTCGGAGCCCTACAGCCGCAGTGCTGTGTGAACTCCTACCCACAAATTCCATCAGCGGGTTGCCTCCAGCCTTCCTGAGAGTGCCTCAGCCTCCAGGTAAGTGGGTGCCAACCACTGTGAGCAGAGCAACATCACAGCCCTGATGTCCTAATTAGAGTCCCGTCGTTTCCCACATCGGAGCTCCCTGGGTTATGAAACAGCCAACAGTGTGGTGCTCAGCTGAGGATTTCACAATGCGACTTTCCTTCTCCAGCTGTATTTTTCCAGACTTGCATTTTCAGAGGCTCTCATTTCAATGCGTTTATTGGATTGAGATGTCTCATAATTATTTATAACAAAGGAGCTCATCCTTCCAGCCTATTGTAAATGGGCAGCGCACTGAACACTAAGTTAGCAGCAGCAGGCTGCAAGGGGAGCGGGCTATTAAGATGAATGCAACAAATCTGAATTCTTCCGTCCCCACCCTTCAGCAACCCATCTGTGTGTGTGGCTGGGAAGGAAAAGAAAGGGCTCCTCTTCTCCAGGATAATAGCAAACGCTACTAGAGAGGGAAGAGGAAAACCCTGTTTATCCCTAGCAGGAAGATAATTGATCTCCAGCCCGCACACAACCGGTCTCAGAGCAGCCGGTAGCAGCACAGCAGAGCCTGGAGCGAACCAGAGCCCAACCAGCCTGTCAAACAAAAGCTTTATGGGGACACCAGGGAGAACAAAAGTAGCACATTTCGTTCCTTCATCATAAATCTTCCCCTTTATTGTGCGGAGATGCTTGGCTACGGAGCGCTCTGCGTTTCGGCGTGGGGGCCACCCCGCAGGCAGTGCAAGAGCCCCCAGGCCCCCGGGGCTGCGCTCGCCTCCCGCCAGCCCCAGCTGGTCCCCGCGTCCTCAGACACCAGCAGCCCTGGGCCCTGGCTCTATCACTCTCTCTTTTATGTCTGCTGAAGGTAATAAAATAACCGTTTCTAAATTTAACTAGCATTGCATAATGCAGCTATTTATTATGTAAAGCTGCTGTTTACAATGCCCAGAATATTGATCACTGTAAAAAATGCAATGCAGCTAGAGCTCGTATAAATTACTGTTACTGTTTTCCTTTCTTTTTGTTTAAAGGATCAATCAAAGGTCTAATTTGTTCTCATGAATTCACCTCTGCGTGGCATGCAAAGCACCAGGCAGCGCGTTGTTTACTGTCATTCAGGCTTGCATGCAGCACTCAGCTCCGAGCCTGGCAGAGGATCTGTAAAGATGACAATTTGTTCATTATCCGAACCATTGGAAAAGGCAAATAAAGCATACTAACCTGCTTTACTTCAAATCAGGTCAATTTTTTTTTTTTCTCTCAGCTATAAAGCAGCAGTGGCAAGCACTTAAAAATTCCAGCTTTATGACTGTATGTCATCATTATCACGTACAGCAGATTATGAATAGGTATTTTCTTACGATACCACATGAAGCCTGAGAAAATGAAAGATGCTTTCCTATTCTGTAGGCCTTTTGGGGGTAGAAAGAAGGATGGAAAAAGAGAATTAAATATTAACAGAGCAAACAGATCACTAAGCAAAAAACAATTAAATAGCACAGCATCCATTCAACAATAACAGCAAATCATGATGCAACCGCTGAGCGTGGGGTGACATGCTAATCATGGATTAAAGGGGCTGATTTGTGCCTCATGAGTATTCATAGGCAAAACCTGATACGTGGAAACCGAACTGAGGGAAATGTGTTTTGTGGGGAACATGAGGTTATACTAGTGTCTGTGCTAAATGATGATGGCTTTTCTCAGCTGTGCCTTAGGGAGAGGGGAGATATTTACCTTTTTTTCCCCTCTTATTTTCTTTTTCCAAGGAGTTGTTCTCCTCCTCTCTACAGAGCGAGACACAGCGGCCTTCCCACCTACCTGCACGTTCTTGCACTCGCCTGTACAAATGCAGGTGATCATAAAAAACACTCCCATCATTTGATGTCACCCAGGAAATCAAAGGTTAGAATGAACGATGGAGCACACCATCGCGGGCAATATCCCTCTAACGGCATCCAGTAGCCAATGTTTCCAAAGATGAATCACCCCTATAAACAGAGAATGAGGTGGTGTAAATCCAGCCCCGTAGCAGATGTGCTGTCAGCAATTGCACAGGGCTCAGCACGGGCAGGAGGCCATGGGAAGCAAATAGAAAAATTTCCTACCTAGGTGGCAGCTTCTCGTCTGTGCCATTAGAATTGCCTGGTTTGGCTTCAGTGCAAGATTGCAGTTAGTCACACACCACTACACAACTTTTTTTTTTTTTTTTTTTTTTTTCCAGTTACCTTCAGCTCAGGATTTAGGAAAAGAAAAAATGCTAATGGGCCAAATGTTGGCTTCCTGGAGAAATCTCCCCCTTCCCAGAGAAGACCCCAAGAAACCAGCTTGTCTATTCTGATAGTGAAAAAAGTGAGATATATTCTTTCTCTCCAGTCACCCCTCAAGGGCGAAGAAGGTCATCCCACCCTTGTGGAAAGCTGCAGAGCTCAGCAGCTCTTCCAGGGTCAGCCCTGTGCCCTGTTCCTGGGCCTCACATCATGGCCCTGGACATCTGCTGGCCCCCAGCCACTGCTGAAGCCATCAGGTAGGAGGTACAAGGGCAGCAGAGCTGCCCAGACCTCCTTAACTCAGGGTCAAGGACCAACATGCCTTCTCTTCTTTGCCCTTCATTTCCCACTCTCATGTTCCACACTCAGTGTCCACCACCTTTCCTTAGTCCCTTTCCAGCCCTGTGAAGGAAAATCCTCTCTAGTGGTGTCCTAGCACCGGTTATTTCCATGTAGGTACGAGGCCATAAGCTTTGTGCAAAAGCCTCTTGGTAAACAATCCTTTTTATTTTCCACTAAACAACCACTCCAGAACAAGGAGGAGGCCACCAGTGAGTTCGGTGTCACTGAGGGGCCACTGCTGAGTATCCTGACGTGTCTGCTATGCATATATCAGAGCAGACTGAGGTAGCAAACTGGTTTCTTTTCCCCATTTTACAATTTGGAAAGCCCCTTTTTTCTCCATCTGCATCCTCATCTCTGACATTAATCAGCAATGCCGTTGCAGGGCTGTTTGTTAATATGGAGATTGGCCTTCTCCATCAGCCTCTGAGCACTTGGCTCCCATTTGGTATGGTGAAAAATCCAGCAGCTAAGGCAGCACGTTTCTGTAATCTTGGTGGAGCTCGTACTTTAAAGTTCAAAGGAGCTTAAACAGCAGGAAAGCCCCTGTGGAAGATCCAGCGTTTTCATGTGCGAGTCAGGTTTTTGGTTGTGTATCAGTTGTTATTTTCAGGAGCTGGTGTTTCGTTTCTGCACAGAAGCAAATGTAAAAAAGCAAGTGAGCAATTTATAATGAAATAATCAATGCTGGTGGTGAATTCGCTGGTGCCTGTGCACTTAGCCTTGCCTATGATCAGAAATTTCTCTTGGGGGCAGCATTTCTTACAGAGATGGATGGATTTATTTTCCATCTACAAAATGTTTACCAGCACGTCCAGGTCTCCTGCTTCAGCCGTGCTGCTGGGTGAGGGCCAAGAGCTGCCCGGGGCACATCCAGCAGGGGAGAGCATCACAAAGATCGGCAACCCAAAGGCGACCCAAAAGCAGGCCACCATCCCGTTCCTATTAGTTACCAGGGGGTAACTACGGCTGAAGTGGATGGAGCACACTTTATTCACTTAACTCTTGCCCACATGGCTCGCTGTAGTGCAGGAGGGGCCCCAGGTGAATCTGCTCAGAAAGCTCAAGAAAAACACCGCCACTGCGAGCAGGAGGAGCCATGGTGGTCAGCCAGGACATGGCCCAGGCCCAGGCCCACACACACCTCTGCCACCCCAGGGATATCGGTGAGAGATGGAGCCCCAGCACGGGCAGGGCTCTGCCTCCTGTGTCACCAAGGGACTCGTCTGAGCGGCGCGGGACATGGACGGGCCTGCGGGCGAGCAGGCTGGGGCCTGCGCCAAGGTGGCGGCGAAATCGCAGCCAAGTCACAGCCTATGTAGGTCAGGCAGCAGGCCGGCCCACCCACGTGCCAGGAGGCTACAGGGCTATAAATGTTTAATTGCTTTCCCCACATCAGTCGCAGCAGGTGAATGAAGCCCTGCGAGGCGGGTGGGAGAAGCAGGCGCAGATCCTCGCCGTGACGCTGTGGAGGACTGAGGGCTCTCAGACCCCGCGGGCTTCTCAGGAGCCAAACCAGATGACAAATACAGCAGAGGGCAGCTGATTAGCTGCAGGACCATTAGCAGTCTGTGAGGATTTAACTCTTCTGTGAGCTAAATGTGAAAAGTACAGCTGAGGTTGGAAAAAGAGTGGTGACGAGTGGAGGACTGAAGAAACGAAGCCGTATGGCGAGCGTGACCGGAGTAAGAGCAGAAGGGAGACCCTGCAGGGAACAGTCCCGGCAACCTGGATGATTACACAGCACAGAACAAACTGAGGAGCTTTGCATCAACGAAACTTCACAACCCTTGCCAGGCAGGACGTCAGGAGTTCAGTATTTATCAACACAGCCGTGGGGACAGT